ATTCCAGTCTGATGTAGATAACTGTAAGGGAGAAAACTTGAAAGTGTTAGTTCTACGAGTCGCAAGCTGAAGTTTCTGTGAGTTGTCTGTGCGTGCCGAGACACGGTGGGCAGCTGGGCAATATTTTTCTTTCTTTGAGGGTGAATGATACTACAGGTGATGAAGGGCAGTTAGTCGTGTTATTTTACGTCGGGCAGCAAGAAGGGGTATATTAGTTTGCTGTTTTAGTGTTGTTATACTTGTGCGGGTATAATTGCGTATAATAGTACGGGTATAATTCCTACTTCGCTCGTGTATCACTAAAACGCGTGTTAACCCCCCCCCCCCCCCCCCCCCCCTCGCGTTTACTCCGCTTCGCGGCGGCAGTCTGCTGCGGTTCATTGCAAAAATATTAACTCACCTGACAAACACACCTGACACACACGTCTTTTTTCAACCACTACGCAGCTTCTGGAATTTACTCATGACTATATCTTCCTCATTAGATAAAAGAGGACAAGTTGACGCTATTTTTATTGACTATTCGAAGGCGTTTGATAAAGTCTCCCACCCCAAGCTTCTTTTAAAGTTAAGAGTCATTCTTGAAAAGCTCCCTTCTGCTTGACTGGATTTCAGATTTTTTGAATTGCAGGTCGCAGTTCGTTTCATCTGCGAATGCCTTCTCTTCGCAAGTTTCGGTTAGCTCAGGTGTACCTCAGGGTTCGCTGTTAGGGCCTCTTTTATTTATTTTATATATAAATGATGTCGCAGAATACATACTCGTTAAAATTCGTCTTTATGCTGATGACTGCATTCTGTACAATGACATTTCGTCTCCTCATGATCAAGTGTTACTTAACGAATCCTTTATCCGTTTTTTTTTAATTGGAGCAAGAAATGACAAATGGATATTAAATTTGATAAGACTGTGTTTATGAGATTTACGAATAAGAGATCTCCTTTAGTTTTTAGCTATGGCATCGGTGATGTCATTTTAAATGAAGTTACGAAGTTTAAATATTTAGGTGTTTTCTTCACGTTCAAACTGAAATGAGACAAGCACATCGACTTTATTTGTTCTCGCGCCCTTAAAAAACTAGGTTATGTTAAACGTACTCTTAAATGCTCTACTAAAGAGGTTAAACTCTGCGCTTATAAGACCCTTGTTAGGCCCATCTTGGAGCATGGATCTGTTGTTGATCTCATTGAATCTATCCAGGCCAAGGCTGTAAGGTTTATTTTGAATAGGTATGACCGTAATTTTTCGCCCTCCTCGGCTGTTCCACCTCTGGGGTTGGAGCCTTTGTCTAGAAGGCGAACAGTTGATCGAATTAAAATGTTACACAAAATTGTTAATGGGGACTGTGGAATAGAGCGAAGTAAATATATTTCATTTTCTACTAGTTCACGCACCAGACGATCTGATTCATTAAAGGGGCCATGAAGCGAATTTTGAGCTGGGATAAATGATTTTAAATTCCGACTTTACTAATCGCATATCGTTTAGTTCGCCAAAAGGAAGAGGGTAGAAAGTCAAAAGCCAGCTTTTCGGTACTAACGTTTGAAAACATAGCGGACTATTTTGTGCCTTCTTTCCTTCCAAAGCTCGCCGCCTTTTCACTATGATACATCCGCTGTTCCCAAAACGCGTCAGCGGTGCCAACCTGACGTCAGCCGAGCCCAGCTCCCGCATTGGATACGAGAACTGCATCACTCGGACTTATGCGCTCGTCAACAATCAATCCGTCGACGAATATTCGAATTCGCTTTCGTGGCCAATGAGTGCCCTGACGGAACTTATCGTCACTGGCGAATGACAAGTTCTATGGTGTGCATAAAAAGCACGGTGGAAGCTAGGAGTCATCGCACCGTTGCCGAAGAATGTCACGACGAGGTGATTTCACAATTCGCATTTGAGTTGAGGATTAAAGCTAAGGAGAAAGAAGCAGGAAAATCGTTTCATAACCCCTTTAAATATTGCTCCTTTTCAGTCTCGTACTAACTGCTATAAAGATTCGTTTTTTCCATATAGTATTAGAATTTGGAATAATCTTGACGGGAAAATACTCTTCCCTATGGTGATTTTATTAGCGCGGTTCTGCCTCTTCTTTTCAGTAACCCATGACGTCATCATTTTCATTTCTGTTATGTTCAAGAGCATGTTGTATTGTTCGAACGTCAATTTGTTTATGTATTTACTCCACTCCTGCTATGACTTCACAGAGGTCGCAGCACTTGTAAATAAATTAAATAAATCCGTACACGCTGCTTCGCGGCGGCCGATTTCGCTACAAAGAAGCTCATCGCCATTTTTTCTAAACTTTTTTTATAAAGGCATTTGATAAACTGGGATCGGTAAAACGGCCTTCGCTAAAACGAGCTCCTCTAAACCGCACTCCTCCGCTGTATTTGATGGGTAGTTAAATGCCCGAGGCACGTAAATAGCAGACGTCGCATATTCCTCCGTGCGCATCTACACAGTTGCATATGGTGTTCGATGTTTACGAAATGTGTACGAAGTAAACCAAGCTGCTGGTTCGCTAAAACGATTGTTAATGCTAAAAATGACCGAAAAGTCCGGGGTTTGCACGCGTTGTGCCAGACGCGACCGCGTAGCTTTTAGATTTGCTTTCCTCACGAGTACTCGCGAAAGGAATCCTGGAGAAGCTTCACAGAGGTCACCAGGGTGTGTACAAGTGCCGCGCCAGGATGAGTCTGGTAGCCAGGCAGTGGCCTTCGCATCGACAGCTTCGACCACCGGAAACCAGATCAGCCTCCGTTTTTGGCGATTGAACTGCCACACTACCCATGGGAAGTATTCGACATGGACGTTTTCGTCCACGGTAAGTACTTGATTGCTGTCGATTACTATTCGAGGTTATTTGAGCTGGAACCTCTGGGGAGGACGACGACCAGGGACATCATCGCCATCCTCTACCCAATGTTGGCATGAATGCTAAGCGTACTGGCTTAACCTAACGGTGCTGAGATCCCAACATCCAATGTTATGCCATTCCATACAAATTAATTGTAGGAAGACAACAAAAATTGCTTTTTCATACTAAAAATAAAAATTTATTGGAAGGCATCAATTCAATAATAATTTTTTTTTTTTTTTTTCACTTCGCGGTTTGGAGGAGTCAGGGGGAAAAGCGTCACTGTCATGGGACTGCCCTGTCTCGTGCTGCAATTATCAACCTTACACATCGCATGCGAGCTTTGTGTAGCAGCTAGTTCACTATTGTCCTCACTACTGCGACGAAAACTCCATTTCATATAAAAAAAGAGTTTCAAGATAAAGCAAGCATTCTTACCTCGCAAAGACGGGAACCTTACATGGGTGTCCAGAATTGTGGCACTTGATTTTATTCAACCGTATTTCTGACGTTTTATTTATTTTCCAATAATAAAACAAAAACGAAAACCGAGCGGCTGTGATTGGAACATCCAACCGCACAACAGCCAACAATCTTGTCACCAAAAACCTTAAAAAAAAAAAAAGTGTGTACGCAGGATAGAATGCGGCCTAGCTACGCGCGCTTGGGCCTGGTATCGGTAATGGTGGACAGGCCCCGGCCGTTCGTCCGGCGTTTTCCGTTGCTAGGCGGTTGCTAAGTCTGACGTCAGTTCTATGGGAAGAGCGAAGCTACGGCCAGAGGTCACAGAGGACAATACATGTCCCTCCAGTAATTTATTGTTTGTTCCCTGTTTGGCGTCTGTTCGGCAAATGGCGCTACAGGTCGATAGATGAGAGTAATCGCAACCTAACCGTTATTATTTTCGGTTTGTGTCCCTACTCATTTGTGTCCCACACATCCGAAAGTGTGATCAAGAGCCATCTTCTCGACCTCTTGGACACGTCTGACAACTTACACTCTTCGCCACATGGTTTCCGCCGCAACCGTAGTGAGGTGGCTCTTCCTGCTGTGGCACATTTCAAAAGCAACCACACGAACGACTGCATTTCCGCGGCCATTACTCAACCTAACTTAAGCAAGGGTTACCCGTGACGTGTATCGGGAATTGTGTTCCGCAGTGCGCCTAGGCGAAAGAACTGGACAACTTGGGCCCCTGCGCGGCTTGACCACCCGCCATGGCGAATGTCCGTTTCCACTAGCCGTCAGAGGTTCTCATGGCTGTTCTTCTAACCGCCCCCTACCGACCTCTAAAATACCCCGGGAACTATGTGGGCTCTTCTACCGTCAAGGGGCGTCGGATACCTCATGAACTCCATGACTCATGAACTGGTATTTTGTCTTCTCTCCAAACAATCCCCTCACCCTCGCCAAACCGTACACGGCGACTGGCTACCAAGCACGGATGCGTAAAGGCACGTTCACACTTGCGGATTGACGGACGGATCCGCGCAGACGGAAAGTGGAAACAAAATTACGATAAAAACTGCATGTTTTGAGAAGTTAATTTTTTCTCGACATGTCTTCATGCATAGACATTTTAAACATGATGTCTGAAAACAATTTGCAGCTTTTTCTTTTTTTGTTTAGCACAGAAATCGCATCGTCGGGCGCTCAGTCTCCGCCCAAATGCAGATCTAGTGGTCCGAACAAGGTTTCAACGTCTCTTGCCGTTATCCGACTAAAGCGGCAGGAACGATTTTTGAAAATTCTAAAATAAAAGCATTTTCGGTAACTGTTGCCACTAATATACTTCGTCGCCCATCATTTTCCACCTGAAAAGTTTCGAAAATCGTCTTTGAATATAAGATCACACAACGGAAAGCTCCGATACCTCGCTACCTGTTCGGACCGCTAGTACTATATTTGGACGGAGACGTAGTGTTCGGCGCTGCCTAAATTAGTTGTGCGGCAAAAACAAAACATAAATGTTTTCTTTTTTTTTTCATTAGGTATTTGATAAGAGCTCGTAGTCAGGCGATCTTTCGGGCGTAACAATTCAAGCCCCTCGAACATTCCAGGTATACTGCGCGGTGCTGCAAGTGCAATCAAGCGATCGTCGTTTTCTTTTTTTTGTATTCAGTGTATTTTGCACAAGACACAAGCAAGCGGTGGCGGAAGACTTTATTAAAAGATATTCCCGAGGACAATCTCAAGTATCCTCGCGTATGAACAGTGATTGATTTAATGCCTCGTAAACAAGAGCCTCGTGGCACCCCACTGCTCGTCCGTTTTGAATTCCCAGAGTACCTCTGCAGTACTCGTAGGTCGGTTCTCTAGAAGCGAACAACTCAGGAGTCGACTCGTCCGGGAATCGGTTAGATTCAAAGCGGGCAAAAAGCTGGTAAAACCTTTTTCTTCGATGATATATCACTCGAAATGAGGTGGTGAGGAAATGTGCGACATTGTGAGGTGGGAAAGAGTAGCCACGCGAAAGCACAGATAGAAAAGCCTCGGGTTCTTCGCTTGAGCACATGTCAATCAATCTTGGGGAACGCGTATCCATTTTTCGCTGTTGGATCCCGCCTCATTCGCTAGGGATAGTAAAAAAGCGCTCAGTATCTAAAGCAACGCTCCCCATAGGCTCTTTTAGAAAGCCCAGCATTCGCGGTCGCCATTAATTGGCCACCAAGGTCACTTAATTGGATCGGAGTGTTCGCTGACGCTGCACTCGTTCTCCATCGGAGTCAGTACCACCTATAAGACAAGGCCGCCCTGAAACGTCATTACTAGTGAATCGATGCTGAGAGGCGGCGACGCCAAGACGTACGCGTCTGTCACTTTGTGGCGAGCTTCAGCGTCGGGGATCCACTAACGATGACGTCATGTGCAGGCATTGTCGTCTAGGTGGCTGAGCCTAGATCATGCCGAATGCCGACGCACACTTCGTGTCCAATAGCTGATCAGGGTGCCTGCCTAAACAATGGTGGACTCGGATAATTGGCGCAGGAGCTACTAGATGGCGCTCACTTTTGAAAGGGGTGTATTGTGACTTGAGAAAGTTTCTTCTCCGCCCTACCTATACGCCTTGAGTGGAAGATTAGTGCACTACCAGCTGCATACAGTGCTGGACCTTCACGCAATGCGTCGACACGTGCTTATGTCGCCAGCGCCTGTGTTCCCTCCACCCTTTATATACGCCGGAGATGGTTCTGGCCTTGGGCCTTATGCATAGTTTGCCGCCAGTTCCCGATTCAGGAGCACGCAACCTTCCAAGTGCCACAAGACGGTTCAATACGTTCGATGCTCGCATACACGACGGGGTCGCTCTAAATCCGACAAAAACTCCCAGGGACCAAGGGTAGGTCACTGTGCCTGTCGGCAGGATGGAGGCCGAGGCAGTCTTATGGGGCCGGTGTCGGCTCTGTCTCACCGAGGTCCAGGATGTTCGCGGGTCGAAGTGAAACCTCACTTCTTCCAGGAGTGTCTCGTATTATCGAAGCATAATCTCCTAAATCTTTATTTTTTATGCCTGTTTTTCAACTAACACTTCCCAATTCAAAGCAAACTGTTTCGTGTTCCTCGAGGCTCACGCCTTAATTATTGTCTTAAAGAGATAAAATGACCTTTGTTTCTTAATGACACTCCACCGCAATTCTAGAAAGTCATTTGAGTGTAGTGTCGCTTTGTTTGTTACATGAAAGCGGTTTTGAACTTGAGTCATGTGCCCTAAAACGACTAGCTGGAGGACACAGAAGCCTAGGTCTTTATTTCCCTATATTGTTTTATGTCTGACACCGCACCTATGGTGCGCCTGTTTCTCTTCAGAAAGCTGGAAAGATGGGATCGATCAAATTAGGCACATTTGGACAAGTTTTCATGATATCCTTATACCCTAAGCATATTGCATGTCGAAGCAAGACACCATGAGATAAGGTTTAAAGCACAGCTTGTTAAAGGCCTATTAGCTTGATAGAAACAAGAATAGTTCCTCATCAAACAGGCCCAGTTATAAAAATTAAGTAATATGATAGTTAATAGTAAAACTTTGGGGAACCCTTGGGGAGCCTTTGAACAACCGTTTGTGGAACTCACCTATAGCCGGTATTATTAACTTCTATTTACCTAACTCAATATCTTTCTTCTGCCACAAAGTCCAATTTGCAGGTTTTGTTGACAAGTTATTTTCAATTGTCTCGTAGAGCAGTAAAAATACCTTCAACAAGAATCCCTATACTACAAATGAAAATTGAAAAAAAAAAATGAATTTGTACCCCTTTGGCAAATCATCCAGGTTTAAGATCGACCTCTTTAAGATGCAGCAAGTGCATGACGGCTGCCCCGGCGTTGTGTGCCAAAGATAAACATCACAACAGCAAAATAAAGAAGGTAGACCAAGTTTGCCTGGATAGGTTGCTCAAAAGTTTCCAACCTAAGCTGGTCCAATTGCTCAATCAAGCGCTGCTTAAATCAACAGGACCCTTGCCAACAGTCCTACATGTCAGAGGGTTCTTTCTAGTGGTGCAAAACTATCGATAATACAATCGATAGTCGAGTATAAAAAAACTATCGACAAACTATCGATAATACAATGGATAGTTCTGCGACACTATCGATAGTTTTGGAAAAACTATCGATAGTATCGATAGTCAATCTATCGATAGTTTTGCATCACTAGTTCTTTCTCAACAAAATGAAGGCCACTAGCGATACAAACAAAAAATAACGTCACAGGCGACAGGGTAACACGCGACAGATCAGCCTGCCTAGTCTCGCTTCTTGGAGTCGCTGTCCATGACCCCTTCTGGGAAGCACATGGTGCTCAAAGTCGGCAGCAGGTATTGCTTGTCGATGGAGTCGCTGGCTTCCTGGCTTAGCTTGCCGAATTCCTTTGTCTTGCTTGCCTTGGCTTGGTACTGCGCGAAAACGGAAAACACCGATGGACATTCCCAGAATGTACGCACACCTTTCTAACAAACCCTCAACCCAACGTGCAATCTCCACAGCCCCGGAAAGCGAGCAAATCACGCGCCATACGCACAAGCGCTGAAAATGGCACCGGTCAGAGGCTCCTGCTGGGGCATTACAAAAAGCACAGTGCAGCCTAGGGCTCAATAAGCTGCTCATCAGAGTAACGGCACTTGAGCTATACCGTTGCCTAAATTCATCGTTGCAAATTATCTGAAGCTTTATCTCAAATCTCAAACCTCACCAAGCTCAGCAAGCTCCTGAGCTTGCTGAGCTTGGTGTGAGGAAGCTCAGCAAAATGCCGGAGCTTCCACTCATCGTATCGATTAAAGCTCAGAAAGCCACACTTTCGAATCGTGACTCGCTCTGATTTAGACAACAAAATGGCGGTGCATTAATCGAAGCATAGCGAGTCGAAACTCCAAGCCTAGCTTATTTACTGGTTCTAGTCCAGCCAGCCGCATTCAAAGCTTCCGCCAGCCAAAAAATGTTTGTCCTAAACGCACGGATCCAGCAATGAACGTCCCCCCCCCCCCCCCATACTTTTATGCAAGGATGTGTAGACGACACTCACAGGCGACTGTTGCTGTATTTTTAAAGCAAGAAGCCCCCACAGTTAAGGATGCGTTCCATTTGACCGCCTACGCTCATACCAGAACCACACATTTCCGCCTAATCTTTTCTGACCATTGACGATCTAGTCCGTCCGGAATTTTTATTGCCGACCGCAGTAAAAATAACTTGACCTAGCAATATTAGGCACATAGAGCGTAGCGATAAAACCCGTGGAAATGGGGAACAAGATGGACCAAGGAAAAACACTGCGAGGTGACTGCTGCGCGAATGAAAAAAAAAAAAAAAAGAAACCCTGATCCTGGTATCGAACCAGAATCTTCTCCATTTCGAGTGGATAGCTCTAACAACTGAAGTAACCAGGAGTTAGACGTCAGTAAAGCACAGGGGTTTTATCAGCTGACACCAGTCTAACTCCAAAAAGGGCGAACAGCCTGCATCTTAAAGTTATAATGATAATGCAATTATTGCAAAGGTGTAAGCGAACTGGACAAGAATAACGATAATAATCCCTGGCAGGCACGTAGCCAGAATTTTGTTTCGGGCGGCGCTTATGGCAAAATGTTTTATGAGTTTGTGAGGCGGAGGGGGGAGTGGAGGCCCCAGCAAAATGGAAGATTGGGGGGGGGGGGGGGGGCCCTATGTCTCCCCCTCCCCCCTCTCCCTGGATACGTGTTTCATCTCTGAAGAAGGGGAACAAGTGGGGCAAAGGAAAGACACAAATCTCCAAACAGGGCTGGTGCCCGTCTGAAAAATCTTCTCCAGGAATTATTGTTGTTATTCTTGTCCAGCTTGCTTGCACCTTTGGATGAAATGCATTATCATCATAACCTTAAAATGCAGACAGTTCACCCTCGTTGGTGGACTGGTGGCAGCTGATAAATCCCGTTTGCTTTACTAACGTCTACATCCTGGTTAGCTCGGTTAGCAGAGTGCGCCACTGAAAATGGGGAGGACCATGGTTTGACACAGGACCAGGAGGAATTTTTCAGACGCGCACCAGCTCTGTTTAGAGATTTGTGTCCCTTGTTCCCCTTCTCCAGGGATTATTATCGTTATCCTTGCCCAGCTCGCTTGCACCTTTGCATTATCACCATAGAGCGTCTGGACGCGCAGATCAATGTGAGCGGTTGGTAAGAAAATCTGCTCCTCTTGAGCCTTAAAGATCAGCACATTGAACAATACCTTCTTAGCGAATTCATGAGTTAATCCTTTCTGTTGGTTCTGCTTTGTTTCAATATGAAAGAAAGTGACGACTTCTAAAAAAATACTGTTTTTCGCGCGCCTCAAATATTTTGTGTTTTGTTTTTATTTGTACCATACCTGCTATAATCCCCTAATAAAAATTAACAGCATTTTGAAAAAAAAAAAAAAAAATCTGCTCCTTTTGAGCTTTAAAGATTAGCACATAGACAAACAAGGTTCTGTTTCTAAAACAAGAAAGCGAAAGTCACACGTCAACTTTGATTCTTCGGAAATGTGTTTTTTCTGGTTACTTCTACCTAGTTCTACCGGGGTACATTTGAAATCGAAAATAAGGTTTTATCTTCCAGCAAAGCACCCTGCGTTTTCAAGATGGCGGCAGAGGATTTTTGAACGCGGGTAGCTTGCTCAGCAGCGGTGACTGAATCGTATACGTTCGGGTTAACGATTTAATTATAAGTCATGTGTATTCCGGGTAACGTTGATGAAATTGTAACTCGAATTAGCGCTTGCGCGCCGCAAAAAAGATTATTTAAAAGAAAAAAAAAAGTAAATACCGAGACTGAAAAAATATTTACTTTTTGAATCACGTGGACCGAGACATCGATTGAGGCTCGTCTTCGTTTTCGATCGTGAGTTGTTAAAAAAACAACAAAAAAAAAACAACGTTATTTTAAGTTTAATAAAAGCAAAAATCATATATTTTTTGGTTTAGCTGAAGTCTAGACGCAACCGATGTTACAAGCGCGAGCATGTGGTCCTGAACAGTGCTTGCACTGCGCCAGTGCTCGTGCTGGGCAGAAACACTGAAAGCGCGGAGCTCGCTCTTGTAGCGTCTGCTACGCTCACACTTAAAGTGAAACGGAGTATAACGCCGAGGCTTTGCGCGCGCCTGGTCTGCTCCGAAAAGAAAAGAATGCCTGCTGCTGCCCTCTACTTTTATGAAAAAGGAATAATAAAATAAGGGGGTTTGTGTATTTGATGGATCTCAACTGGCAAGTATTGGCTATATTACTCCTTTTACCTTGGTGGCATGAAGTGGGTATTATTCGCTACTAGCATCTATTGCTGACCGGGTTGGCTTGAATTGGCTACACATGGTTATTCATGTCTAGTAGGAATAATAGACCTTTTCCGAGAAGTGGTTTGCAGACGCACGAGCACCCGATGCCAAGCGGTGGAAATCGACACGAACAATCGAGGAAGTTCGGAAGGAGGCTGTGGATCAGCGAGTGAACACGTAATTGCAGCATGTATATATAATTGTGTTACATAAAAAAAGAAAGTGGACGGAAAGGCAAACACGAAGTTTAGGTGGACGCCACGGATGCCCCTCTTAGAAGTCGCGTTGGGCATGCGTCGCAGCACAGAGAGCGTAAAAACTGGTAGCGTAGCTCCCACTATCGATTGGTAGCGCAGCTAGGTCACTTCCTCGATTTTTAGTTTGTGTAGCCACCGCCTGGTGCCGTCGGTTTGTGGAAAACGTCCATTATTCGTTATTTTTGTGCTTATGAAATAGATTGACTTCAAGTAGTTACTGTTGGCTATTAGCATCTATTTTTTTTTTACCAAATTGGCTTCAAATGGTTGGTAATGGCTATCCGGGAGTATATAGTTGACAATTCTTTGATATATTGTTTTTTATGAATGGAAATGACATCAGGTCGTTGTTATTGGCTAAATGGAGTAGTCAGAGCTGTGTGCACGACTGCTGGGCGCGTGCTGATGGCGAGCCTCAAAAATTGTTTTGCAACGTGCATTCCACACCACCAAGATTGCCCATCTTTGCAACCTATACACTCTCAGAAAAAAAGGTGTATTATTACACCCCTTGTCCCATATAATACACCCCAAAATTTCAATTCGACGTACAGCGCCCCATAATCGAACAGGCGGCCCCAAATTTTACGAGGGGCTTGATAGCCGTGTGGTACAACTTATTAAGATAGCTGATGTACGCATTATTGACTACAAAAAATACTGTCGGAGTTTTCTTGGCCGTACTGCAAAAGCTCCGCGTTTTTTTTCTTTGGTCTTTGATACGTACTTTAGCAATTTAATAAGTTATACCGGACCGTTATCAAGCCCCTCGTAAAATTTAGGGCCGTCTGTTCGACTATGGGGCGCTGTACGTCGATTTGAAGTTTTGGGGTGTATTATATGGGACAAAAGGGTGTAAGGTGATACCCTTTTTTTAGAGTGTATTAATGTGGGCTCGTTCCGAGCATGCGCTTTAAACAGCGCCTTCAAGTATGGCGTCCAGTGAATGCCTCCTATTGTATTGGCTTGAAATGGCTACAAATGGCTGTTAGTGACTACACTAGGGCACTCCTTTTCGTGGCATTTTGAAGAAGACCGCGCGAGTACAGCTGTGATCGGCGCTCTATGGCGCGAGCGCACCAGTATCCACAGCTTTGGTTTCAGTAGTAAGAAAAGTTTTGCCCGAGTACAGTATTGATGAGGCACCCTAGTATTGATGATTATACACTGAGCGCACCAGTATCCACAGCTTTGGTTTCAGTAGTAAGAAAAGTTTTGCCCGAGTACAGTATTGATGAGGCACCCTAGTATTGATGATTATACACTATTCCTATGTATACGAACTGAAATGACTTCCAGTGGCTATTGCTCACTATTAACATCTAATTTTGACAAGACTGGCTTTGAATGGCTACCAATATTTGTTTGCTGTAATAGTTGACAATTCTACGCTATTTCGTTGTTTTTGAATGAGTATGCTTCTGCCCTATTTATGTAATTATTACCTGACTTGGGGAACAAATAGTAACCACGAAATATTAGAGCATCATATTTTAATTTGATGAGATAAAAACAGCCCAACGTCTGGTAGCGACACAATGGGTTGCAAACGCACTGCCGGTGACGCAAAATAATTCCAATTTCCGGAAAAGACATTTTTTTCCCATGTTCCTACGTTCGATGAAATATCGTTTCAGCGCAAATTTAAAAGCAGTTCAAGAGTCATTGGACGGCCCCTTTAAACAATGTTGGCTTTAGGCATCAATCCTTAATAAAATCGGCTGAAATTGCTTGAAACTGGAGACTAGCGACTAATATTGAAAACGTTGTGCGATTTGCATCGTTCTGAATACAGAATTGACGTGACTATTATTGCTTAATGGCCGCTGTTCCTTGTCAGATCTGCTTCAGA